CTGTTCTCATAGGCTTCAGCTAGTTAAATGCTTAAATACTTTTCCCGGCATGGAACCCTCCCTTCCGTCTTGGTAAGTGCTGGTAAGTGCAAAGGGCCAAGAGAGCTGGGCCGGCTGGGCAATATGGAAGCACAGGCTCGCGGCTTCAGCTGACTGGCTGATTTGTGGAGGAAAGGAGGGGGTAATGAAGTGGAGGGCATATTTAAGTTTACGGCTAAGTGGGCCCCTGATCCAAATTAAGTTGCCACTAGCGGGAGCCCACAGGGAGAAATTCAAATAAATACACGCAGGCTGGTGGGTGACACAACTGTATTGTGTCCGTTTGGTGGAGTTGGCCTTTGTGAAGTAAATTGCACGTTCTTTGGTAGTCTTACTTAGGCGCGGTCAACGGTATTATTAGCTTCGCTCAATTCCCCCATTTCCTGTCGCACTCGATATTGGGTGGGTTATGTCCACGAGCGAGTAATTATGCTAAGTATATACTCAATAATACCTGGCACCTATCAAGAACTGGCACAGTATACGTATGCAGCAGTGGAAGTGGGGATCGATGGCCGATCGCTCCAATTCATACCTGCGAACAAAACAAACTCCATGATTGAGGCGGCAAAAGATGCCCCTCATATTGGCCACTGCGCACCGTCTGCGTAGTAATCTCGGCTGTGGCTGCTGAACAATCAGCTGGGACATGGTCCAGTAGTTACACACAATACTAAAGGTAAAAAAGTGATTACATACACCCTTGCGATGTTCTAGCTCATTCCTACTCTCCCCGAGATAAAGCAGAGCAATGTTTGGTAAGGGCCAGGTACCGGGCGAATGGGAACGATTGGAACCCAGCATGTGTCCACGGTATACTTTTGGCCAGCTCGAATTCAATATTCCGGACAAGGATCCTTGGAACCCCACGGTAATCCCTGCTAGTTTGGCGTCGTGGAGCCATCCCATTCAGAGGCAAGTAGGAAGAAGTAGCCTACTAGTACTGAACACCACTACACACAGTACTTAGTAGTGGAAGTAGTGGGAGGAGTCTAGCTAGGAGCCCCGCAACCGACTTGGGCCACTACGGATCCGCCTGTCTGATTTACCTCCATTCGGGCACTGTCCGTTTTAAACCTGAAGGTGCTGCTGGTGTCCTTCCGCTGCTTTGGCCCTCAGAGGGTGTTAACCCTTTAGTACTAGTCTGGTTGATAATCCCGGCCCCGGCTCAAGTCCATACTATTCGCCCATCCACCGATGCACACGCATCGTCAAGGATCGTTCTTCGATTCTTTCATCTCCTCTACCCTGTTTCCCTTATCGCTACTATGTGGACAGCTTATACCTAAATCTGGACCGCTGATTGATTGATTCGGACGCATCACCCCTCGGCCAATGTGCCGGCTCTTGAACCTTATTGTTGCAATATGTGCGTGAGATTCCTTTTATATCGGCCCATGTCCCTTTTGGCCCCTGCATATGTACCCCCCATTCCTCAGGTGATTTCAATTGACCGGCCTTATCGCGTCCCTCTAGGCTGCACTCCAGTGAGATGGCGAGCCTAGACTCCGCCTTCGCGACGAGCTTCGCGAAAGAGACATGGGCCCTCTACAGTGTCGGAGTATTGGGCGCCATACTACGATTGTGAGCTCCCTTGACCCAGAGAGAGAGACCTTCGGCGGATCATCGTGTATTGAAGTATTTCATACTGACCGTCTCCGTCGTATAGCGTAGCACGAATACGCCGATTGGGTTACCAGAACCTTCAAGCAGATGACTACTTGATGCTATTCGCCGTCGTCTGGTATACTCTATTATGTGTCGCTCTCAACGAAGTAGCCTCTGGAGGCGGATCAAACCTGATGGACGAGAATGATATAAAGAATTTAACGCCATCGATCAAGGCGGATCGTGTCAGGGGAAGCAAATGGGTTTTTGTATCAGAACATTCCTTTCTCCTCGCGATTTACGCCATGAAAGCATGTATGCTGGTTATATATGCCCGCATCACGTATGACTCTCTATCCCACAAACATTAAATTTAGATCTAACATTTCTTACCAGGGAAGGATTACGCCAACGCAAATGGGTGAATTATCTCGCTGTCTACGTTGCTCTAGGCTTCGTTGCCAATGAATTGTCTCTGTTCCTCATCTGCCGGCCTTTATCGAATTACTGGGCCGTGCCTACTCCCTATGGTCAGTCGAAGAGATGAGCCCCGCAGAAAGACGATGGCGGTTACTAACTTGTGTATAGAACAATGCTCGACATATCAATACTATGAAATTGTTCAAGGATGTCTATCGATATCTGCAGACGTCTTTATGCTTATCATTGGGCTGCCACTCATGGTTCAAGTGCGAGTGCCTCTCAAACAGAAGTTGATTCTCTTGATCCTATTCGGCATGGGCATCTTCGTCATTGTCGCAGCCCTCCTGAACAAACTCTATTGTCTCGTTCCCTCCCTCATCTCCTATGTCTACATGAACTGGTATTTCCGGGAAGCGACAGTAGCTATCCTGGTCACCAACTTACCCCTCGTTTGGTCTCTCCTTCGCGATGTGTTCCCTGCGCTCAAGAGCTGGACCGGAGGGTCACGACGAGCAACAACCGAACGCTATCGGAGTGGTCCCTGGACAAGTAAGGGATCTGCATTTCGTCACTACGGCCCCCACAGTCAGTTGCAATCTGGCGAATACAGCATGCACAACTACAACCAAAGCACCGTTGTTGCGCCCCAGAAGACTATTTCGGAAGTCAGTCTCGAGCCGAGCGATGATCGCGAGCCCAGTGAGGACGGCTCCGAACGGGCCCTCAGAATCCGACAGGATGTGACGGTCACGGTGGAGCGTGAGACGCGACCACCTGAGTATTGGGAGTCCAAGAAGGCCCAAACTTCACAAGGCCGGCTCCCAGAACCATGAAGGACACGATTGTTTCATATTGCTCCATTTTTTCGCTGAAACTATTTTCTCAACGCTTGTATAGAAACTTTTTTTTTCTCTTCTATTTTGACAACACTCCCTTGATCAATTTTCCTTTCTTTCACGACACTCAAGTTCCACTTGCGGAATGATCTGATTACGGTGTCCGCTTGACTATTGTACATAACTTGCTCGGCACCCCATCGCTTAACGCCCATATTTCCACTGATCATCGGCATGTGGGGGACCAGGATGCCGAGAAGACATCCATTACGACCATGGTTCGGAAGATAGATGAGGGACTAATTGGCACTTAGCGACAAGGATAGACAAAATGTATTGTGTGATATAGTAATAGATAGACACCATCATTGAACTATACGTTCAGCTGAGCCGTTTCCATGTCTTAGGCCTTCCGCCGGCCGCATAGCGTTTGGCAAATGTTTTCCAGAAGGTCGTCTTCCCTGGGACCATCCGAGCCTGCCGACCTGTGACCTGATCGTCCCGTGACAGACCACTTCGGGGTTTATTTGCGAGTACCGTAATATATGCTAAATTAGGCGGCTGTATGGTGTAAAATTGGAAATCCTATAACCTCCCTTCCCCGATGGTATGCCTGATCATCTTTCAGTCTCCAATCTCTCCTTTGGTGATGTCCCCTGTGGTTCCTGCATCTCCAAACTCCAAGCTACAAAGTATTACTCTTCATCAGTTTATGACGTCTGCTACGGGGCGCTGATTTGTCCGCATCCATTCCATGGACTCACTCCAACTGTGCATCAGGCGATACTAGAAGGAGTAAAAGATCAGGTACCACTCGTCTACGCTTCTCTTTTTGACAACTGCGAACTTTAATCATTGGTGTCCGTGCCGAGAGCAGACCGAGGCTGGCTGACAGGAACTTAACTCACGCTCTGAAGTCAAAGAACCCCTTCAGCCAAAGCCAAAGGGCAGGTGCCGTCCGAAGAAGCCGGGGCCTGATAGACTTCGTGCTGACTTGGTCTGCTACGTACTAGGTAGTAACCTTAAGTTCTACCGCGGCCGCTTTGGCAAGACTGGGAACCCACCACCTTCCGCAAAACTCACCAGCCATCATAATCATCGGTCACCCAACCAAAATATTTACCAACAATCATCAAAGAGCGTCTCGGTCGGGTAGGAATGTTCTTTTCTCAGTTTGGCTGTACCCAAACACCCCTCTGCGCGACTATTTGGCATGTGGTCCATGGGACCACCCTCCCCATCCCCCACCCAGCAGCAACCACTTTAGGGAATGATCTTAGATTTAGATTCCCCGACGCCGAACTTCATCATTTGGCCCACGGGTCTGTTCAGCGTCGACGGAAATAACTTGCCCAGGTGCGTACGCCGTACGAAAGGCATGGCCGAATCGCAAAGTTTTCCACGAATCGAATGCATGCTCTGCGCTGTAAGGTACAGCGACAGTAGCCGCAGCCGACTACCCCAGTGATCGACATTCGCACCACACTGGCCAGCACCTCCAAGCCAGAGTCCTGGAGTAACGCGAGAGATGCGAGCGCAGCGGGATTTGGAGAACTTCAACAAAGCCCGTCATTCGCAGGGTTAAAATCGCGGCGTGGCGCTGTTTTGCCACCATACTACACAGTACACAAACTCATTTCTTCCAGGTTGGAGTGAGACTGAGATTGTCCCTGAGAACAACACCCCTGTCTCGTCTTTCCTCTTTATTTAGGAATACGGGAGCAACTAGGCAAGACTGTGCTAAAGCACGTCTCAGTTTCTGTGACAGCAGGATTGTAGTTCGTGCGGACCGCTTACGCCCGTGCTTTAGTCTTCCAAAGTCTGCCGTTGAACTATTGAAATGTCTCCAGGGCTTGACTATGGTTGATCAGATGTCACTTTCGCACACTTGTCCCATAGACTTTCGGAGTACCAGACTTTCACTCGGAAAAGAGGGCCACCGCTAAAGGAGAAAATCACGCACTATAATGAGCAGTTACTTGTTCCGCTAAGCGTTCGGTCCTGTGATAGTTTCTCTCATCCGAAAGCTTATAGGTTCACAGCACCTTGCGACAGTTCATGCACCATGCCCAGCACGGTCCCCATTTCTCGGCTGCCTTTGCAAATTTCTGAGCACCCTGCATTACAGGGGATGCCCACGGTCCCACTCATGCAGGTGTGCATGGGATGTTCGATATACACCATCTTCCATACACATGGGGTTTCAGCGTCTGGTCCCACAATTCCACGGCTCCTTGTACAGCAGTTGAGTCTATGTGCTAAACTTGATGCAAATATTACACCAGGCGAGACAGTAGATTCGCAGTACAAAGTCTGCAGTTCGTCTTTGTACGGGGACTGCAGATCCACGTGGCTTTAGTTCAACGCATGCTGATCACCTCGGGGCGAACTACTGAGTCCCTCACTGACTGATTTAGCGTATGTTGAACAGGAAGATGACGAGTCCTCCTGTTAGCTTCAGGATCTAAGTGTTTTGAGTCAGTCGATTAGCGTTCCCTCCGAATCATTCTGTGTTAGAGGATGCTTCGTCCGAGACATGGGAGACACCGCTGAACTTTGTTCACGGATTTGAACATTTCCGACCACCGCGCGCCGAATTTCTCCCGCGGGCGACAAGGCGGAGAAGCAACCGTGCTGAGAGAGTGGGCTTGCAGTTTTGAACACTCTAACCGGTACCAACTCCTTGTCCTAGCGCGAATGAAGCTTAGAGCGCTTTTCAGGAGCAGGCGCCGTTTTCTTGGAGTGGACAGGTCTAGTCTACTGTCGTGATAGTAGTATACACTAACCAGCGCGCTTTGCAACTTTTCTGGGATCCTTCGACTTTCGAGACCCAACCACTAATCAAGCACAATATATTGCACAGCACCAGCGCCCACTGGACTGGAGTCTAGAAGGAATAATGTGTTGGGCGCCGATATTAAGGAGACGCACGTTATCACAGCCAGAATTCCCATTAGTGATGCTGTGTTGTCATCCACGTCATCCCGATTTGGCATAGTGCACGTGATGCGGGGCTGCCTCTCCCTCTCCAGCTTCATCTATACTGTATCATCTTACTACAGCTTAGTGTCCTCTTTAACCTCATTCAGGATCAGATATATTGATTCTAGTTGCATTTTCGAGGAAGCAGCCCGCTTGACGTCTTGCATGCAGCATACCCGCTGAAGTAAGCACTTGTACTCTTAGTCGTTACCTTATCTCTGCAAACGGAACACCCGCATCTGTAGACTAACCGGGGATTGTAGCTTCTATGTGTTTGAAAACGGATGAAGCCTTTGCTTATAAGACATACACTGCAAGATTATCAGGGGCAATTGAAAGACCATCAGGTTTACCATGACTCCATCATCGTTCTTAGGCCTTGAGGGCCTTCATGTCTTCATTACTGGTGCTGCAGGAGATATCGGTAGGCGGGCGGTGCAGGAATTCTTAGGTATGTTGCTTACTTACTCAGTCTTCGCTAGCTGGAGGCAAGTCCCAAGCATGTATTAGCCTACCCTCCTTTTGTAGTTGACGACCGTAGTGATAGTCACCAGCTGTTGCTGAGCTATTCCTTATATGTCACCATCTGCCTCCATGTGCCCTATTCTCTGCGCAGATACAGCTCGATTCTAACCGTATTCACAGACCAAGGATGCAAAGTGACGGCGTTTGATCTGCATGATGTGGAATTACCTGAATCAGTTAGAAAAGACGTGGACGCTAGACTCCATGTCCTCAAGGGTGATGATACGAACGAGGAATCTATCCAATCCAGCATCTCCCAAGCCAGCAGACGCCTCGGCCCCATCAATGTTCTCGTTGTCAATTCTATCCCTGCTGGACAAGGCAGTGAACTTCCCATCTGGGATCTGCCCTTGGACACCTGGGAGAAGACGTCTCGAGTCAACGTAAGAGGAACGTTTCTCACAATTAAGCACTTCCTGCGAGCTGCTCAATCAGCCCAGCAGACTCTCGGCAAGGAGCTGCATAATCTGGCTATCGTCGTGGCAGGAGGAGAGCTACTTGGGAAGGCAGACTTGCACACTGAGTTGATCCAGAAAGTGAAGAAGGATATAGTCCGTCTCAACAGGCAGGCGAGGATCAACATCATTGCCCCAGTTGATACCACAGGGACGCAACCAAAGTATGAATTCCTGATCATCCCAGAAACACACCCGCTAACCTCTTCTAGCATATCTCACTCAACCACAACAGACTCAATTTCCCGGACCATAGCATTCTTAGCCTCCCATCGCGCAGCCGGACACCTGACAGGCCAATGCCTCAATCTGAATAACAACACGCAAGGCGGATCTACCTCAACCAGCCTTACCCCGTCCATCCCCAGAGGCCTTTCCAGACTCAGCAAAAAAATCCGCGTCGTCGTATCCATCGACCTAGACGCCGTCTCTGGCTGGCTCGGCACCGGTCACCACCCAGACAACATCCTCGCCGACTACTCAGCGGGCTTCTTCGGCGCCAAAGTCGGCGTCCCACGTCTGCTGCGCATGCTCAAGAAGCTCAACCTCGCCGACCGCTGCACATGGTTCATCCCGGGCCACTCCGCGGAGAGCTTCCCGGATGAAGTACGCCAAGTAGTTGACTCCGGCTGCGAGATAGGACTCCATGGCTACGCCCACGAGGGGGCCTACCAGATGACGGTGGAACAAGAGCGCGACGTGCTGGTCAAGTGTATCGACATCGCCACAAAACTCACGGGCAAGAAACCAGTTGGTTATCGAGCTCCGTTATACCAGCTCCGCGAGTCAACTCTAGACCTGCTGGAAGAATTCGGCTTCGAATACGGTATCCTCTCCTCCCCTAACAGTCCTCCGTGACACCTTCCTGCCACTCCACCCCTATCTACCACACAACAACCTACTAAGAATGATACTACCATGAATAGACTCCTCCATAACCGAGCACGACAGCCACCCCATCTTCGCCCCTCGCCGCCCACCCATCCAAACCATCGACTTCTCCCAGCCTGCCTCAAGCTGGATGCATCCCCTCCCACCTTCCTCAGACCGACGCCCTCTCGTCTGCGTTCCTTGCAACTGGTATATGGAAGACATGACCCCGATGCAGTTTCTTCCCCACGCGCCGAACTCGCACGGCTACACGGACTCGCGGGTCATCGAGAACATGTGGAAAGATCGGTTCCTCTGGATTCGGGAGAATGAGGAGGAGCCGGTGTTCCCCGTGCTGATGCATCCTGATACGAGTGGCATGGTGCATGTGATTGGCATGTTGGAACGGATGTTGGGATGGTTGAAGGAGTGGGGGGAGGATGAGGTGGAGTTTTGTCAGTCGCAGGAGGTGGCGAAGTGGTTTAGGGAGAAAGAGATGGGGAAGAAGGAGTAGAGAGATAGATGGATAGTAGTGAGGGAGGGTTTTAGGTGATATTGGGGAGGGGGGTAGTAATGTTATTCAGCTACGGTGACAAGTTACGTCTATAACTTACTAGAAGTGTGAGTAACTACTGGAAAAAGAAAGAATATTTTAGATATCGAGGAAGTGACATCCAATCCAATTTATCATACTATACACCAGTAAGTAATTAGAAAAGCGTGTATGCCATCTAGTCGACAGCAACAACCCCCCGTATTATCATATCACCTCGAAATATATCAGCTGTACAGCCCAATATCTTCAGACATATATGCAGCAAAAATATGACAGATAAAAGAAGAGAACAAATAAGCGCAAGAAAACAAGCTCATCATCACATCATCTCATCATGAAAGAAACAATCGCTATCAATCAATCAATCAATCAATCACTTTTCCATCTACCCATCAACCGCCCTACTCATCATACAAATCCATATCCCCACTACCATCCTCCATCTCCGCCAACGCCTCATCATCCTCATCGATCATATCCTGATCCTCATCGGCCGGAATCTCATGATTAGGAAGGACATCGATACGGCCGTCGCGCATAACCACCCTCGCGGCCTCGCCATCCCGCACACTGCCGCGCAGAATCAGCACCGCCAAACGATTCAGCACCTCGCGCTCGATAATCCGTCCGAGCGGACGAGCACCGTAAGCAGGAGAGTAACCCGCTTCGCCCAGGTAATCCTTGACTTCGTCAGAGCATTCAATGATGACGTTGCGGTCATTGTTCTCAAGACGGCGCTGCACCTCGTCCAGACGGAGGTCGACGATCTTGCGGATCTCGCGCTTGGTGAGACGGTTGAAGATGACGGTGCTGGAGATGCGGTTGAGGAATTCAGGGAGGAAGTAGTCGCGCAGGGCGCCCATGACGAGCTCGCGGGTTTGAGGGTCGATGCGGCCGTCCTTGGTGGTTGGGCGGGAGAGGAATTCGGCACCCAGGTTGGAGGTCATGACTACGATGCAGTTCTTGGCGTCGACGATTCTGCCTTGGCCGTCGGTGATGCGGCCATCGTCCATGAGTTGCAGGAGGACGGTCAGGACTTCCTTGGCGGCTTTTTCGACTTCGTCGAAGAGCAGGATCGAGAAGGGCCGTCGGCGGAGACTCTCGGTTAGCTGGCCGCCGGCGTCGTGGCCGACGTAGCCTGGCGGAGCGCCGATCATGCGGCTCAGGGAGTGGCGTTCTTGGTATTCAGACATGTCGAAGCGGATCATGGCCTTGGGATCGTCGAAGAGGAACTCGGCCAGGGCCTTGGTCAGCAAGGTCTTACCGGTACCGGAGGGACCGCAGAACAGGAAGCTAGGGGGTGAGTTGGGGTTGCTGAGACCAGACCGCTGGAGTCGGATGGCGTTGGAGACCGAGGTCACCGCTTCCTTTTGACCAACGACGACCTTGCCAAGGTACTTCTCCATGTTCAGCAGCTTGTCCTTTTCGGTGGTCTTGAGCCGTGTCACGGGGATACCGGTCCAACGGGCGACGATTTCGTTGATTTGCTCGGGGCCGACTGCGTCCGCGAGCAGAGCTTCGCCGGCATCGCCCTGACGTGCCCGCCGCTCTTCATCGGCCCTGGCGCGGTCGATTTCGAGTCGCTCAATGAGGGCCTTGGTCTCAGGGATGGCATAGTACTCGAGATCGGCGGCTGTTTGGGTGTCACCAGAGCGCTCTGCTTCATCACGCTTGACCTTGAGGGAGTCGAGCTTGATCTTGGCGTCCTGGATGGACTTGCTGCGCTGCTTTTCGCTCTCGTACTTCTCGCGCATAGGCCGCAGCTCTTCGGTAACGTTGGCTGCTTCTTGCTTGGCGGCTTCGAGACGGGCTTTGGAGGCATCGTCCTTCTCGCGCTCGAGAGCGTGGATTTCAATCTGCAACTGACGGAGCTTTCTCTCCAGGTTGTCTAGCGCCTCTGGCTCGGATTCGCGCGTCACCCGCACGGCAGCGGCGGCTTCATCGATCAGGTCAACTGCGGAGTCGGGGAGTCGGCGTGCGGTCAGATAGCGCGCAGCTAGCGTGGCAGCGGACACGATAGCGCCGTCGAGGATGTTGACACCGTGATGCACCTCGTACTTTTCCTTGAGTCCACGCAGAATGGAGATGGTTTCCGGAACGGAAGGCTCCTTGACGAGGACTTGCTGGAAACGACGCTCGAAAGCCTGATCCTTTTCGATGTATTTGCGGTATTCGCCCAGGGTGGTCGCACCAATGCAATGCAACTGACCACGAGCCAGCATGGGCTTCAACAGGTTGGCAGCATCCATGCCACCTTCGCCGCTGGAGCCTGCGCCCATGAGCAAATGAATTTCATCGACAAAGAGAACAATGGTGTCTTTTGATTCTTCAATCTCCTTCAGAACGCCCTTCATCCGCTCTTCGAACTCTCCGCGATATTTGCTGCCTGCAACAAGCGAGCCGACGTCGAGAGACAGCAGCCGGCACTGTGCTAGGTTGGCCGGAATATCTGCGTTAACGATACGACGAGCCAGGCCTTCGACAATGGTGGTCTTTCCGACACCGGGTTCACCGATGAGTACTGGGTTGTTCTTGGTCCGGCGACTCAGGATCCGAATTACCCGACGAATCTCCTCTTCACGGCCAATGACAGGGTCAATCTTTCCCTCTCTGGCCAGAGCAGTCATGTCGATGGTGAATTTCTTCAGGTTCTCGTTTTCGCTTTCGGCATCCGCAGTCTTGGAGTCGACCCGTTTTGTACCACGGATCTGCTGGACAGCACTGTCGATCAACTTAACGTTAGGAATGTTGGCATCGGCCAAGGCGCGCTGGACCTGCGAGTCCTGCGCGGCGGAGAGGATGAGATGGTCAATGGCGACATAGCTATCCTTTTGCGTCTTGGAAAGTTCGGAAGCCGACCGGATGACCTTGGCAAGTGCGGGCGAGACGCTGACAGTCTCTGGCGGAGGATCCTGAGAAGGGAGACGAACCAGCATCTTCATGAGAGATCGTTCCAGGAGTTGTGGATCGCCATGGGCGCGTTCGACGACCTGGCGGAAGAGAGGGGCGGAGGAGGTTTCGTGGGAAGGATGAGCGGGGGCTTGCTGGTCTTTGGATTCATCGGGAGAAGGGTTGAGGAGAGAGACGGCGAGATGAACAGGAAGGATCTGAGAGTGCGAGTATTGCTCTGCCAGGCTGCTGGAATCCAGCAAAGCCTTGTTGGCTCTGTCTGTGAATTGAGCGCCGTTCATGTTGGGGCGGAATGTGAGGGAAGAATGTGGGATGAAATGAGCTAATCAGTGATTATGCTTTAAATTGCGACACAAGAGGGTAAGAGATGTCTGTAAAGGCGAAGAGGATGAGGGAAATGCTCAGAGGTTAGGTGGAAGCAATGTTCCGTGTGAACGAGAGAAGGAAGTCTGCTGATTGAGTCTGATGAGAGAGAAAGAGGCGAGCAGAAGATGATGCCGACTTGCATAATATACAGCGTGACTTCAGATGCCCGATTGGGTTCATGACGACACTGGCAGCTTCCACCGCCTTCCAGAAGCACCGCCTGTCATCCAGATGTCACGTGTTGTTGCCTGACCCTGCTGGCTTGTTCTTGCCTGATCTAGCAGGCCTGCAAGTGGGGTAATTGTTAGTCATGTGACTTGACACTGGCCAGTTGCCGTTTTCGGAGCCGAGATCGTGCAGATCGAAGAAATCTTGAAGTCAAATTCGAATGAGAATAATGTCTCTCTCTTCAAGGTCTCGCTCAACTTGAAACGGCCAACTTCTTGTCGTATCCACTAACGCCACCTCTTTTCTAAGATGACTGTGTCCCGGGCCATCGCATTAGAGTGTGTGCCCTGACATTTCCAGGAATCTGCCCCGGCGCTAACGGCGCCAGATTCACTCCTGGCGTGTTGGGATCGCCTCCAGCAACAGAGAGGAACCCCCCACGTTGGCGTCGTCCGGGCTTGATTGGCATGCAATCCTTCTGGTCTGGCCGGGATTAGAGTTCCTGGTCTTGTTGGTGGTGGTGGTAGTGGTAGTGGTCCATGACAACTTCCCGATCAAACGAGCGCCATTCAATGCTTGAGGACTTTTCTGCTGATACTTTCTCAGATCCCGGGAAGGGCGGGGATGTTGGTTGGAAGAGAGGTTTGTTCTCCTGACACGAGATCGTGAACATTCCCCCCCTGCAACCGACAAATTCTATTTCTCCTTTGATAGATGATGATTCGGAGACATCTATCCCGACTAATTCTCTTCCGTGGTGAATGATTCCCCCGCCTCACAACCCCCTCCATGCGATCAGCGCATCGATATGGCCTCATCAGGTCATTCCAGGCCCGAGCGTGACGTCAAGCAGTGGGAACCCCCCCCTCTTAATTCTCTCCTTGGGATGCTCAAGCCTTGGATGAGCCAAACTATCCCCCCCTCTGCTATCGCCCGGGATCTCGTCCCCCGTGAATGTGAGACACTCTCAAGGCTACGGACCCAGTTCCGACCATGAAATGCAGGCTGAGGGGAGATCTGATCAAGGGGAATAAGGCGTAGATCGTAATTCGCAAGTGGTTGCAGGGATCTGTTCGCGCTTTTCCGGTGTCTTTCTGCCGGCCGCAAAAAACCTCCCCTCCAACGTCATGACTATGACCGAAGGATTTGATAAAGGTCTTATCCACATCCAACAACCAGCGACAATGGCCCTTTCAGCAGCGATATCGCAACACTCGCCCTTAAACTACTTTCTGCACCATCTGCACCATCTGCACCATCTGCACACTACCAGGCACCGTTCAACTTCATTCCTCATGCGGCAATAATTCACAGAGTCCAGGCATCAACAGTGGATAGCAAGAGGGGCTGCCATTACGTTTAACCCCTTGACTAGCCCAGCACCGTTGTCTGGTAGACTGTAATGGTGTGGATATCGCACTCGTACACTATACTACTTGGGACCCTCAACTTTCGTAGGGACTGACTGACTGGCTTATCCGCTCCATCCACGGGTCAACCTTCCCTGTTTTGTTTTGCCTGGCATTACATTGGTCCTGGGCTTTGCAGCGAACGACCGTCCGTCGTTTCTTGCTGTTGGAGCTGCGCTTCTGATTCGTGATACCTGCTTTTTTTTTTCCCTCCCGCGTGGAGGGCAACCCGTATTTCCATTCATTCCCCTCCGCTGCCTTCAGCCTGGTCGACATTCCGAATTCCCTCTTGAGTATAAAAAGCCCCTCTCCTCCATCATCGGCTGCTCTCCTACTCGCCGTTTTTCTTTTGCTAGTATCTTTTGCTCGCCCAATCCACGGGGGATTTGCAACGACTGCCTGACTGGGCATTTGTTCTTGCAGATTATTGCATCGGAACAGCAATACCACAAAAGCAACAGCTGCTACATCTTGTCTTGGACGGGGACTTCAGTGATTCCCAAACAGTCCCTACACCGGCGGTGAAATTCCCTGGTAGATAGTAGTGTGCACTGTTGATCTTTAAAATACCGACTTGGATCTGAATCGGAAACGGTTCATTTCTGCTTCTTATTATTTTTTTTGGTGAACCAGCCAGCCAACCTGCCCTGGTTGCTCATTCATCATCGCATCTGATTCAAGATGTCTCAAAAACCCATCTTCGTGGCTACCCATCCACGCGCCTGCTCTACGGCCTTTGAACGAGTACGCGTGATCCTCGCATTCCAGAGTGCTGAAAACATCAAGATTTTCTAAAAATAAAATTGAAGCACACATAGCAAGAAGATCAGAACCTGCTGACACGTACAACAGGTCTTCATGACCCGTCGGGATACCATCCAGTGTATCCATGAGCCGTTTGGTGATGCCTTCTACTACGGGCCTGAACGCCTGTCGGCCAGATTCGCCGACGACGAACAGGCTCGTCTAGAGAGCGGTTTCAGCCAGTCGACGTTCCAGACCGTCCTGGCCAGAATCGAGCGCGAAGCTTCTGAGGTCCGACCCTTCTTCTTGGTCGTGTTTCTTTCTTTCTGCGTTCTACACCTTGTCATCCATCCCTCCCTGTCTGTCGTTATGCGCCCGGCCGAGGTGAAAATCCCGGCTGGATGGTCCTGCCCTGCATCGTAGAGGCCAGTTGCCAATCTTTTCCCCCTCTCCCCCTTAACCCTCCCCCCTTGATGGGCTGGGGACCTGCGGCATCTGCATGCCTACGCAGGTCCCTCTTCTCTATTCATGCGCCTCTCGTACAAGCCCATGATCACACGAGGTAGTCACCTCACTGTCATCGTCAAGATGGCGTCGGATCTCACCAGCCCCAGTCGAATCATCACACTACTCTCCTACTCTACTCTTACTCTACTCGGTTACTGCGAGATACTTACCACCAGCAGGGCAAGCGCATCTTCATGAAGGACATCATGCACTACCTCCTCCCACCATACAGCAAACCCGCCAGTATTGCGCCATCGCTGAACAGGATCAAGCGGGGCGTGGGCACCGAGTCTAACGGAGAGACTGCCCCCCATTCGGCCGTTGGCGTCAACGGCACCAGCAACGGCGCCCACACCAACGGTCACCACGCCCAGCAGCTGAATGGCACAAGCCCAGTACAGAACGGGACCAAGAATGGGCTGAATGGCCACGCTGCGCTGGACCACTCCACGCCGGTGAAACCGGCAGCTACCCGGGAGCCGTACCCGTACGACACGGCAGCCGAGCCAGGCAATCCTACCGTGATGCCCACGGAAATCCTCTCCCAGTTCCATTTTGCCTTCCTCATCCGCGACCCCCACCACAGTGTCCCCTCCTACTTCCGCTGCACCATTCCACCCCTCGACCAGGTGACGGGCTTCCACAACTATGATCCCTCCGAGGCCGGGTACGACGAGCTGCGTCGCACCTTCGACTACCTGCGTAGCGTGCGCCTGGTTGGCCCCCACATTGCCACGCAGGAGCGTGACGCCGACGATATCGACAACCGCCTGCGACCGGTGACTAGCGGGCTCAACGGATACGAGGCCGGGGCGGAGATCTGTGTGGTCGACGCCGACGATATGTTGCAGAAGCCGGCGCCCATGATCGAGGCGTTCTGTCGTAGCGTGGGCCTCGAGTATACCCCCGACATGCTGTGCTGGGATACCGAGGAAGACCACCAGGTTGCTCGGGAGAAGTTCGAGAAGTGGAGGGGCTTCCACAACGATGCGATCGAGTCGAAGGGCCTGGTTGCTAGAAAGCATGTAAGTTATTAGTAGACCTTGCACGGTTATATGTCCCTGTCCATGAAGTTAGTCACTAACACCACCCAACAGCCCCATGCCGTCAAGACGGAAGAAGAATGGGACGCCGAATGGCGCAAGAAATACGGCCCGGAGGCAGCAGAACTCATCCGTAAGACCGTCGACGCCAACATGGCTGATTACTTGTATATGAAGCAATTTGCCATGCGCGTGTAGGTCCAAGTCAGGACAGTCTGTCCTTACGGGCCCGGGACACCAGGAGGAAAGAAGAAGAGAAACCACCGGAAGAAGAACGGGGGACCGATGGCCTTAAGTAAGAAAGAAGCAGAAGAATGATTAAAAGAGGGGTTAATCCACTCTTTTAACTTCGGAATGGTATGCTGGGTGACGAATGTTCAGGCATGATGAATTCTTAGCTTTGATGACGCCATTTGATGTGATGATGATCTGTGCATGTTGATTCCTTTTTGATTGATTGATCGATTCGTTTGTGATTTTTTTCATGAATGCAATGAGCGAAGCAAGCAAGTATGCAAAGCAAGGAAGGGTGGGAGATTGAATTAATTATGATGGAATATATGATTGATTCGTTATATTGATGTGCTTCTATGGGGAGTGTAGTGTAGATGTTGGTGTAGTTGGGTGTGGGCTATACCCGACTGCGCACATAGTAGCAGTAGCGGTCAGACTCGTACTTGCTGTGTGCAACAGGACACATCATTGTTTCAGAATAGCAATTGCTTTGTAAAGGAATCATGTTCTGGAGACAAGTAATCATTTTCGTCTTTGTCATTTGTGATCTACTAGTCAGTCCTAGTATATAGATTTTATTCTCGAGGGCGTGAATTGATAAAAGTTCCTGTTACGCCTTGGTCCCGATTACAGACGTTCATGACTTATTGCATGCTATCTATTACTTGTAGATAGACAGACAGTAGTCATTTGAAACGTTTATGCTAGATCTTTCAGATCGACCCTGATTCAGTTGCCTATAATATACTGGAACTATATTAAGTGTTAAAGATACTTGTACTCCGACTTTAGCCGGCTGCCAGGTTTACACCCTGCCTGCCTTGCCTTTAGAACCTATTACGTACATTCCTATCGCTGAAATCTATTTACGTTCCCAAAATATGAATCACACTCTCATAGTAATATTCCCTTATACATACTATCTTATCGTATCATATTCCTAATCCTAATCCCACCCAATAAAATGAAACCATCATCGTCATCATCAAATCCTCGTCCTCAATGCCAGCAACAACCTCATCTCCTCTCCACTCATCTCATCTCATCTCATCCAACCAACAAGCAGACAACATAACAAAATTGCAAAGGAGCAAAAAGCAAGCAATCAATCAATCAAACTCTAGCCCCCCTAAACAGCACTATATCCCCCTCTAGATCCCGACCCTTGTAGCGTGTTGACCACCCGCCGTAACCAATCCTGGAAGAGATAGGGAATATCGCGGATCGTGTCGCCGTGCGGGAGAAGATCCCACCCGCGGGCGCCGTAGCGGTTGTAGTTGAGCCAGGAGCCGAAGATGAGGTATGCTGCGATGCAGAGGAATAGACTTGACAGAAAAATCTCGTTAGTCGGTCCAGTTTCCAATAGGGATAATGTAAAGACGACGGAGGGAGCGGGGGGAGGGCAGCAAAACATACATGATAATCAACCAAGTAAAGAATCCCCAATGACTCGACCCATCACCTTCACCAGGATTCTTCTCGCCGGGCTCATCCTTGTAATCATCGCACGCGTACCGTGTCCTCCAATTCAACTTCAACACGTAGGTATCATCATCCGCGGGCCCGAAACTCTTAAACTGCAAACTGCGTCCGCCCTCGGGGATAGTGCCGTTGTCATTATTCTCATTGTCGCCGTTAGTCTCGTCTGCGCGTTGACTCAGCTGCCACCGCCGACGGCGCTCCTCCTCCGTGTCTTCGGTCGTCTGCAACCCCTCTAGTCCCGACCGGTCGGGATCGCACTGGAACTCGATCACGGCGCCGGCGTTCTTCTTCTTCTGTTGTTCTTCGTCGAAGTATTCGCCTCCGGCGAGTTTAACGAGGAGACCTTCCTGTTCAGAATCGAGCTTCTTCAGGCGCGTGATTTCGGCATCTTTGGTACCGTGGCCGAGGTGGTCGAGGCCGACGATCGGGAAGACGGTGCTTTCTTCCTTGTGGCTGTCTAGGGCGGTTTTGTATTGGAAGCCGCAGACTGTTTTTGGTAAGAGTATTGTCAGTTGTGGGAGCTAGTAACGATTTGAGGGGGCGGTGGTGGATGGGATAGACGTACTGTTCTTGGATGTCGGGCATTTCAAGTGGCCGCGGTGGGCAGCGCCCTTGAGAATGTTGCAGATGTTGAGCACGTAGGTTGTGTTGACGACGTAGTCTTCTGTTTCGTCGACGTGGTAGAGCGTGTGTACGCCGCCGAGAGTGCTGAGGTCATACTTGTAGCTGTCGACGATGATGTTGTGACAGTCGAAGCCGCCGGACGCGGAGGCTAGGCTGGGGAGGAGGGCGGATGAGAAGAGGAGGGTCGAGAGGCCGGTTGGTATTCGCATGGTGACAGCTGGATTGTGTGTTGCTGATGCGGAGGGACTGGATTGGTCGGGGGGAAGTGATGAAGCTGATAAACAGATAGGTGATGACCGGAGCTCAGCTCGACAGTTGGTGGGTATGAGTGGTAGAAAATAATGAAGCAGGAAGTTATCGCTAATTTGAGTCCCGCGGCGTGCAGTAGTAGTCGTCTATAGTGGTGTGCAAAGGAGCTTGGTGCTCCAAGGGAGATAGATGAAGATGAAGATGGAGACGCAACGGTATGGATGGAGCTGTTCCCGACGCGGAGGTCGGCGATGCGGTGGCCGGGAGTCTTGGTTTCTCCGAGGCGAAGCGGATCACCGCTGAACCACCACGATGACATCCAACGTCTGCACCTGACTACTAAGGCACGGGAAAGTTGGGACCGTCAAGATCGATTGCGGAGATGACGGCAAACAATGGATATGGCTCGGCGATTGGAGTCATCTCTCGTGGCAGCGGCTGAACGTGATCGGCAATGCGGAGGGCACCTGACGGGGATGATGTCACACGACCAGATGGTGTTGGCGATATTCGATGTGTATGGAAGTATCTCGATTCTGGCTGCAAAGGGAGATGCATAGCATAAGAGTAGTTGTACGGATATGGAATCCGGGGTTGAGCTCAAATCGATAGAGCAGCTATCATATAGTGACAATATGAAACAACTCAAATGAAGTCTATCGCCAGCGGCATACACACATAGCATAGTCAACAGTCACCTCATACAACATAAGAACCATAACAGAATACAAACATAGGAACATTCTATGTGTTCCCTTCAATGGAAATCTCTGCACACAGACCCCCTTCACCAATGCTTCACTGTATAGAGCAACTAGTGCAGACTACCACCTCAACCCCCATCCTCAGGCACCAACCACCGCACAGACCAACTCAAAAAGCCAACCAAACCTCATGGTCTTGACACCTCAGGCACGAAACCCAGCTCCCCTCACAATCATCATATTAATTAATCAAATATCATCCCATCCCCAATCGCCTAACAAGCATCCCACCACAACCCCGCCAAGATGATGCAAACTCGCATGGTACGTATACCCCTAAATTTACTACCCATCCTATAGAGAATTGTTTTGCTAATAATGTAATCAGCTCACTAAAGAAGACGAAGCCCTCACGGGCAGCGAGGACAACGAAGTCCGCCGCGAGGACCAAGAAAAGATCAATCGCTTTAGTCGGCTGCACCAGCGCGAGACGCTGCTCGAGGAGCAGTTGAAGCTGAAGATGGTATGTTTGCTTCCTTAGTTCCTAATTGTCTTACATCCATCAAGTGATAATTAAAGGGGATATGAATAAATCTACCCCCCTATACATGAAATGAATGCATGCAGGAACTAACAACCCCCCAGGAAGACAAAGAAGATCTAGAAGAAATCTCCACGGAACTGGAGCTGGCAGATGAGGATGAGCTGGTACCGTAAGTTTTTCTTTTCTCCTCTTCCGTCCATCTATCTATCTATCTATCTCTGCCAACCAAGCCGATATATGAATTGGAGAGGTGTTAGGGGACGTTGCTAACTGCATTGCAGGTACAAAATCGGAGATGCGTTCTTCCAGCTCCCCCTTGAAGAGGCTCAGTCCCTGCTGTCGACGGCAACAGAGCAGGTCGATGCCGATGTGGGCAAGCTCGAGGAGGGACTGAGTGATCTGCGGGAGGAGTTGCAGCAGTTGAAGGTGGCTTTGTATGCGCGGTTCGGACGGAGCATTAACCTTGAGACTTAATTATAGTGTCTATCTACTACTGCCGTTCGTGTAATGTGACAGAAAGTGATGATGATGATTGCATTAGCATTAGAATTAGCACGCATCCCCAATTGTAAACGCTAGTCCAATATGCACTATGCTATTAAAGATAACATGTAACGGCTGAAAAGGACAAGAAGAGTGGTGTAAGTCTAGGTTCGGCTATACACGCGTGTACTGTATACAAAAAAGTCCCAACATTATATCTACGTTGGTAAAACATCGCAGCTGATTCGTAATCCATGATCTCATCTCACATGCCTGTGGGGTTTTCCCACAATTGCCGGAACAGTAATACAAGTTTTGAGTAGGACAAGGGTCTTGTCCAGTTTGAGAGAGACGAGCCCTTCGCGTGCTCGCTCTCATGGCGCGTCCGGGGCGGGCGTCGCCTTCGTAGCAAATCCAGACGTCAAGCTTCGAGCGTAGTGAGGATGAAGCGTTGAGTCTCATAATGCTCATGAGCCAAATGGTATAATGGCATCATCGCGAGCGGTCTCATATAATGCTCGCGATAGTCATCCGCGAATGAGACGAGCTCGACTGGGGAGTCGTCGCATCAGAGCTCGCGGTGGCGGATTCCGGCCCGAGATATGTCGACTCCGCAGGTTTGGTACGATGCTGAAGATCTTGTTGCTGTTGCTGCTGCTGCTGTCGCTCGTGGAGGTACTGCACGGTCTGCTCCACCCATTTCCACCCTTCCCACCCTTCTGGTCCTGCGCTGGCCTCCGGATGGGAATAAGCCACTGGGCTACTGACTTTGGGCGACATCACCTCCAGCTGCGAGCCGGTCTCACTGCCCTGCCAGACCCAGTTACTTTCCGCACTTCCTTGCATGTCGCCGGATACATATACCATCAACTCTTCGTCGCGGTCGAGCACTGCTAATTCGTTGCGCCGTAACCGGTCCAACATCACTTTGAGGAAGAATGCAAGATAACGTCCACAGGCCAGATTCACAGCGCGCGAATCACCAATGGCAGTACTCGCCTGGACACAGACGAGAGCAGGAGCGTAATCCTGGCGGAAGAGGAGTAGAAGTGCACAGCGCCAAAGGTGCACACACAGCATGGTTCCTGCGGAGGACGCCAGCAGTGGTCTCCAGTCATCGCCGCTCGTAGCGGTAAACCCACTTCCCGGGCTGGACGGGGCCCGCATGCAACGAGACAGTAAGCGAGCGGTATCCTGGGCGGTGGAAATACAGTAGTCCAATGATGACGCTCGAGCCTCGGGAGAACAGAAAGGAGAGATATTATGACGGTGGAGGATCAGGCGGGCATTTTGGAGGTAGAGAATCGGTGCGAGGGTGCGGGGGTCGAGATACTGGTCGGCTGTAGGGTGATACTGAGGGGGAAAGGTCGCGAGGCAGGTGTTAAAGTGTCGTTCGAAAGTTTCAAGGGTTCCGAGACTCATTGTCGGACTTTTCAACGTTCGAGATAGCTGGCCGATGGATCGAACCACATGTATGGTGGCCAGTAATGGAGACGTTTGGGAGCTTTCCGGCACCACTGCTCCGTCCGAAAGATACTGCTCATCGATGGGACACGGGAGGCCCACATCGCAGTCTTGATCGTTGATGAGAACTGGTTTTCCCATCTCCAAGGCGAGAAGCCTGCCATTACTGTCAGCCGGTATTCAACAACTAAATCATCTCTGGCAGCTCATACCTATCCCAGGTGTACATGCCCCACCATAACCGCTTCCGCATCTCGCCTTCCAGAGGGGGCCAAGGCCCTGACTCCAAATGCAGGCCAATCTCCTGCGCGACTCGAATTGCGGACCCAATCCAGACCCAGCTCGCCGACTGCGAATTAACCTCGTACAAGAAAATGCTGACCAGCAGCGCCGCCCGTGCCTGATCCAGGGTGAAGTTGTCCTGCCATACATCAATCACCCCGCAACTAACAGTCACGAATTCTTTGCCTTCCTCTTCCCGATTCGCTTCCAAGGTGTGCAGACGCCCACATGCAAAGACTCCGAATAGAACCGCGGCCCATTCGCGGGGCACGCCGAGGAGGGTTCCTGCTTGGTAGACCTCCTCGAACTGGGCGACAAAGGTCGGCCAATGGATCACAGGCAGGACGGAGTGAATGCAAGCGTAGTACTGTCCCAGCAAGCGATTGGCCAGCTCCTTCGGGGGAAGGCGTGGAGGATCAGCGGTAATCAAGGACTTGGGGCCGGGCTGACGGTATGGAGGTGGCACCCTCAGGATCCCTTTGCCGTATTTCCGCAGATTCGCACGAGCCTCGGTCAGATCCTGCATCACAGGCGCTTGTGGCCGGCGCGGGGGACGATACCCGGCGTCCGGAAGCTTCAGCTGAGGCTGCCCCGCACCATCAATATCCAGATCCATCAGATTGTCCGATCGTAACATGCCCGACCGAAGTTGCTGTAGCTGTTGCTTGGTCGACAGCAGCTGTTTTTCGAGGTCTTGGACTTGCCTGCGGTCAGATTAGAATTGCAAGATTCCCACAAATACAACAGCCACGGCACGAACTTGATGGAAGACATGCGTCGATTCGTCTCCTTGGTAAACTGGCAGCGCACCTTACGGTTGGTGCATTCTGTGCAACTGGACGACTCGGAAGCGTCACACTAAACGGAATGAGCTATGCTGGGTTCACGGGGCGACCACCAGGGTAACCTCCACTGCGACGTAACATACCTTGACTTTGCGTTCCCGACAGGCATCGCAACTGGGGTCCTTTCTCCGCTGCCGATAGGCCCTCTTCTGCTGCAAAGGCTGCTGTGACTGATGATGGGGGTGCGATCCAGCCGCAGCACCTCCGCCCATCGGCTGAAGCAGTCCGGGACCATTGAGGGGAGGCGCATCGGCGAGCATCGATGCGCCTTCAGCGGGAGAGCCACTTGACTCGTACGAACGAGCGTAGGTGGGAGGGTTCGTAACGGGGGGTGGCGGAGGATTGGGCATATGTTGTGCCAACGGCTGCAGTAGATGGGCCATCCTCAACCCGCTGTCGGGTCGACTCGGCGGAGCGGAGAGTAGAGGAGCAGGTGCGGGCCCATGCGGTTGAAATGGAGCTGAAGGCGAGGTCACCGCGTGCACCGGAGGAAGTTCATATGACCCTCCTGGTTGGTTCGGGCTACTCGAAGAATGATAGTAGTGCGCCTGCATGTCGACACCCGCAATGCAACCTCATAAGGGGGGACACTTGGGGAGGAGGAAGAGGGGTGTGTGCAAGCCGGAACGATTGCGGACCAGACGAAGCTGCCCGCTCGTCCGATGGAAGAAGCACAGAAGGCGGGGGGGTGTGGTAAGTCTGGATGATGCAAAGCGAACAAAAAGATCAGGAAGTACAAGCCGATGGGGAAAGCGTCCTTCCTATAGTGTGCAACTCAAAATGCGACACTAGTGCAGAATGATGATAGCTGCAACAGCAAACACCGATGGGAGGGGAAAAGAGGGAGGAATAATTATTGGACCCCGAATCGACGGCAGAAATCCCGAGCGCCAACCCAGAAAAAGAGGCCCGAGAAGTGTGGATTGAATCGGGAAGCTGGCCGCAGTGGCAAAAGATGGCAAATGGGGGGAGGAAGTCAATCAATGAACTGTCTCGATCGCGCCAAAATTACACCCGAGCCACTGAGCCACAGGGTTCAATATGCTCCAGACCACAAAGTTAAGTTGGGACGATGGGGCTACCGTGGGGTCATCTAGAAGCGGTAGCTCTGTTGTCGTTGGAGCGGACAGATGGAGCTGAGTCGTCCTGTGGGTGCTGATGAAGCCATACAACAGCCAGATGGATGGAGATAAAATCGAAAGCTCTCCAAAATACCGAGGTCGAGGAGCTGCAAGGAACGTGGGCACGAAGCCAAGCACCAGACAAGAGGTCAGGGCACGGCGTTAGGCGAATGTATAATAGTACTAAAGTGGGAGCTGGATTGGAGAGATGGGGGATTTGGCAGGCGAGGTAGAAATCCAAATTCGATAAATATGTGGACAAATTGTTTTTGGCAAAAGACAAAAGGCAAAAGGAGAGAAGAGGATACTAATAAGGAGGAATAGTAAGTAGTAGTAAGTGGTTGTTGTTGTTGTTGTAGTTGTAGTAGTAGTAAGAGAGAGAGGAGAAGGGAATGACAGCCCGGGGAGCCAGAAGGTTGAATATAGTGTCAGTCAGTCAGCCAGAGAGAGGAAGAGAGGAAAAGAATGAGAGTGACGGCCAACGACAGTTATGGAAGGGATGATAAGCCAGTCGTCAGTCAGTCAGTCAATCATACTTTGGATGAACTAACTACTAAGAAGAACGAGCAGACGTCGTCAGTCATTCATCCTTCTTCATCGCCGCCTCGGAGCCTCTGGGTTTTCCCCTAAATTTCGTTTATTTTATTTTATTTATTCTTTATCAGGATATTATTTTTTTTTTTTAAAAAGATTACTACGGGTTTGTTTTATTTCGATCCGATTGTTTTCAGTTTAGTTCAGCTTCCCGTTTCCGAGCATGACTTTCCCTCTTCTACTTAACTACTACTAATAACTACTAACTTGTGTCTGGTCTCTGAAACAGAGATCCTTACAACACTAGTACTGCAGCAATCTGACTGTCTTCTCATGAAACTTACTTTATGAGTATATGATTGCTACAAACATTCTCACCGTTCCAAGACAATTTCCGTCCATTCCGTCGGTGGCAGAACCGGCAGAAGAGAGGGGGGTGCGGAACACTACAATACCAGGGGGGAGAACAAGCTCGACTCAAGCGCCGCTGCCCACTTTTTGCATGCGACCAGGCCTCGGATGGCGTGCCAGAGCTCCTGCGCCAGGGTCCTATCCATGCCCAGCAATCGGCTCCGAAAGTCTCTCGGCTGACCCCGGTTACAGAGTTTAGTGCTAAGCAGCGCGGCGGTTGACAAAAATATTCAATAAATCAAAAAACGCCATGGCTGAAACGAGACCAGGTGCCTACGCAAATCGGATCGAAGGGGGGTGCGGAGATTAGCAAATGAGCTTACTGCAGAAGTCTATCCTTAGGAATCTGTTGCCGACAGCCTTCTTAATTTTTTCTGGCCCCGGTT